CACGTATCACGCCTCACTATCACAATTTTTACTTCCTTATTTAAATGTGGTATGGCGTGTCCGTTTGAGCTGTTTTCATTAGAACTTTCTACACTCTACGCTGGCTTTCTAAACCCCTCCTTCACCCATTTGCTGGGAATGTTGATCATTGTCTTTTTTATTGTTACGCAGTCCTTTAATAGATCTTATCACAGCCTTCCTGAAAGCCGTTCAGAAAGGCACACAATTCCACATTTAAATAAGCAAGTAAAAATTGTGATTCAGAAGACCTGATGCGAGGATATTGGATTTGTGATTAGCCCAGAGCAGGAGAGATCCCACATTTGTTTATCAGATAATTGGTCAAAGAATCAGTTCCATTTGTCTCCTTGACGAGTTTTAGTTTGGTGCTAAGAATAAAAAGACTCACTGCCGATGCCGGCAAAACGTCTGGGAATGTACCATGTCAACACTCCGACTTTAGGAACCATCATGCATACAATGGACTCCGGACTAGGTGCGTTGCCCTAACTCTTCAGACCAATATGACCAAGTTGCTGAAACAAGGTCAAACAACCTTTATATAACGAAAGGAGATTGCAACCATACAAAAGTCCACACCATCTTGTTCTTCATATCTCTGAAAGGCAAAGTTTCATATAAATAACTTTCAAGATTATCAATAATTATTGAAATTAATTTAGTCATCCTAACTCACTTTCATACTGAGAGGACTAGGTTTTATGATTTCATTAGATTTCACTTAGCCTTTTTTTTTAAAAGCATATCTTGTCCAGGCGAAATTACAGTTTTGGCACCCTAATGGGATTCGATGAACTATTAGGGAGCAAAGCTAATGGTATCATGAAGCCTACTTATCTCACTGTAAGACACCTCAGAAATGGGTTTTTAAATCAAATTAACTAACCTAGTGTGACTGAGTCCTTATTAATAAAAATTTATTTTAGGTATAATAATAGCCTTTCAGAAAAAGATATGTATTTCAGGCGGTAAAATATTCGATGTAGTAATCGCATTCGGTCGATTAAATTTTCAGGAAGTTTTAAAGATCCCAACCTAGCTTATATATTTCAGACAAACAATTTTATCTTGGTTTCACAGAAACCCTTAATTAGCTGATTTTCTTTCACTTATTATATAGTTTAGAGGAGTGAATACAAAGCATTCGTAAATCAACATCATTGAGAGCCGACAAGTGATTCGGTTGGAATTGCGACAGTAGATCTATTTCAATAAGTTCTCAATGTACCGTCCCACGACCTCAATAAGTTCTTGATGAGCTATCGTCTATCAGGTAATAAAGAAAATAATAGAATTAATCTTTGGTAAATGATTGCTTGTTCTGCTGATTCCTTCACATGACAGGCGAAAACTCAGTACAGCTTCAGTGGAGCGATGGAACGGTTTACTGAGAACTTATTTGAACAAATATGCCTTCAAAACACCAAGGGGATCTTCCTTCGGCTTCTGGTAAGGCAACTTTACGAGTCCCTCCTTGTTGCATCTTTAAATGAAACAAAAGGTACGCCAACATAAAAGTCCTTATAGACTACAGAGCATAATGTTTTAAAAACAGATAGAAGCTTGGAATCAATCCAAAACATTTGGGTATCGGGCAGCGAAAATATGGTAAGCCTAAGACAAAGTAAATGTATGCTTAAAAACATTATTAATGCACAAAATGCATTTATCTGAGATGCTTTTACTATACTTTGTTTCCGGTAATAATTGTAGTATTTCTGAATTATCCGACAATGATATGAGTAGACATTATGCTTCCATAAACTTTCGCATAGCCTTGCTTTCCCAAAATGGACTGCAGTTCCGATCTCGCCTAGGTTATATGCTGTAATATTATGGTTTGAGTCCCAACAAACTCATATAAATAATATACTGGTAGTCTCAAAAACCTACTTGTGAACGAAAAATAAAAGCTTTTTGTCGATTCCAATGATACAAGAGAAAATAAGCCCTCTTTAACCGTGTTATACACAGTTAAATATGACATTTTTTACCATATATTAAGACATGAATTTTGTATTGCTCATTTATCTAATAACTTAATAAATTATCGAAGCTCAACGATTTACTTGTCAAATAAAGAGAACGAAGTGAAAGTAGCTCCGATCGCTCTGGTAGGAAGTATTGTCTATTAGAAATTCTTTTTAATAATATAGTTTTTATATATCAAAGCCACCAGATTATACTGGCATAGATAGATAAAAAATCTGTCTACATTTAATTAAAAAGAATGTCTGAGTATTTATCTCGAACTTTACTTTTCCATATATCATAGAAAGCCAGTTTACTCCAAGAAGTAGTGAATTTTTAATCTCACATATATTTAATAAGAAACATTGAAAAGTTGGTTTATGAATTTCAAGGCAAGGCAATTCTTTCTTTATTCGCACATGCAGAGCAAAAAATAAAAAAATCTATAAAATCAAGCATGGACAGACTCGCTATTATTACATTAAAAAGACAATGAACAAAACAGTTAAAGCAAACTTCATGTAAGCTAAGATTTTCTTTAGCAATACCTAATATAAGACATTAAATTAGATGTTGTATTGAAGAAATTGGCTTTATGTAAGTTCCCTCAGAAAAAATGGTTTGTCAACACCCGCATCCTGTTTGTATTCTTTAAATAAATTTATATAGTATATTAAAGATTAAAAGTGTCAGCCAACACGAAAGTATTTCAGAAAATAATACATAAAAATGCAAATATCGAGGAGCAAAAAACACGATAACTCAAAAATATAAAAGCGTATGCAAATTTTCCTTACTCCAAAAATTACTTATTGACGTAAAAAGCAAGTATAAGTCACTATATGCACAAAACGAGATTTTTGGAGCATTTATATATAATTGAAAAATTACGATTGTGAATATTTTTAGGAAAAACAGCTAGTAAATAAAGTAGCTCATAAAAATGGATCTACTGGTGAGTCGCAAATTCTGGAAGGAAAACTAGACAAATTATTAAGAGCAAGCTAAGGAATAGAAGTAAAAATAATTAATAAAAATAAAGCAACATGAATAATAAAAATACAATGAGCAGAATAAACTAATCAGATAAAATTTATAGACTAGTGATATAAGCAAATTGAGACAGGAATAGTCTAAACAAATAAATAAATAAATAAAGCATTATCCAGAAAGTGTGAGCAGATATTCCATGCAAATAAATAAACGAAGAAAAAATGTAACCTGATGCCCTATTAAGTCGCTTTCACTAGAGCTATGTTGGCTATGTGCTCTCTGAGGAGTGAAAATTTTGAGTTCCGATATAACAGAGCGAATTGGTGGTGTTATTGCTGGTAAAATAGTCGCCTCATTTGACATAAAATAAGGTTTTTTGTTCTCAAGTGTTAAAGTATTCTCATGGGTTGAACTTTTATTCGATGAAAAACACATCTTCTTATAACTAGTAGCCGATGTTCTAGGGTGATCGGACAATCTTTGCAGTTGGCTTGAGCATTTGGTTTCAGGAGTTTCTGTATCAAACGCATGTAAAAGTTTAATATCCTTTTTGAGGCCTTTAGAATATAAAGGTTTTTTGCAAGAAGTGCCCAAGACTTTATTGGAATAATATTCGAGAGGATCGAGAAATGGTCGCTTTTGGCTAGTGTAAGATGTCGAATGGTTTGATTCATCTGTCGAAATAGGACACTCAATCAAAGATAGATTAGTGTTTAAAAAGTCCTGTTAATTTTAGATCCAAGATGAATTTATATAACAGAATAAAATAAAGAGAGAATTTGGATATAATCAAAGAATACAGAAGAGCAACAAAAACAACAAAGCATAAAAAACAATAAATAAAACAGCAAAAGTGCAAAAGGAAAAAAATGTGAAGCATGGGATAAAAACAAACACGTAAAAAAGAGAATAAAGCAAAAAGAAAATTATTCAATATTAGCAGATGAGTCAACTGTATATGCAAAAATAGGTATCTGAGCCTTTGAGGTCATAAAAAGATATATAAAAATTGAGAATAAAATAATTAAGGATTTGCTTTGATAAAAATATGATATTGGGACATTATTACAACATGAAAATAAGACATTTAAACCAAAGCTAAATCATGGAAAGGCAAACTTTAAATGCACTGTTCTAATATCCTAGCTCTTATAATTGATATATATTCTTGTACCGGTAATTATACTTTATTGATAAAAAAGCAAACTATGCGTGCCTTTACTATATATATGAAATATCAATGAATTTGATTCTATTCAGTAGGATAAGAAGGCTTAAGAAAAAATTGTCACGAAGAGCTAAAATTTTAAGAATCGCTATCGTAAAATAGCACAAAACTTCGTTATACCTAATTATTACGATAATGAAACGGAACAAATCCTGAAGGAATGATAATAGAAGAAATCTTCTTGGTCTAATGGTAATATAATAATTTCGTTGCTGATTTGGTGTTACATATTTAGCTCTCATGCTACCGTAGTGAGGATAGTTGCTTGATATTCAATTAATCGTAGCGATTCGCTAAATAATTAGGTAGAATTTGGAAATCCTACGGTATGAACTTGTTACTCGAAGTCGAATTATTCATATACAGAAGAAAAATGTAATTTTCCCAAGGACTATGTTAAACACGGCATGAATAAAAATAGGTTAGAAAATATATTATATAAATTATTATTACTATTGAGTAGTGCTTTAATATAGAGTTAAATAAAATGACCAAAGCCTTACTTCCCGGTGTACGTCAGATTCAGACAGATCTTTGCGCAAACTAGCCAAAGAGCCAGACTTCGACGCTAAACCACTGGACTCCGCCTTTCCTTGCTGCTCAGAGGCTAGATTATTTATCGACTGTGACCGACTCTTAATGCCTGTCATAGGGCGGACAGAATCTGCCTTGGGTTCTTGTGACGGCGCAGTTACCATGCAACCTAGAGCTATTTTCTTTTCGGCCGTTGAGTTCACAAAAGAGTCACTGGTATTAATTGGGCTAAGATAGGCTCGGCAAGTTTCATTGCAATTGGCTTGAGAAACTTCTAATAGATCTGAGGTGGGGCTGGGTGCACCGAGAGTATCAGAAGTGGCCAGGAGGCTGATGCCAGTCCCATTGGTCGAGAGGCGCCGGATATGTTGCCCTTGACCCTCGTCTGTGTGCACATGTATCATACCCTCTTCTTTCCGACTATATTCTACACCCAAAAGGAGATGTCTCATCGCTTGTGAAGAACGTTCCTTAGTTTCAAATGGAAGAGTTTGGCTGGCCACACTTATGGAGTTCGGCCCATTCTCTTTTGGCTCCCTGAGTCTGGAAGGTAAAGTATCTTGCGAAGTTCCGGAATGGCAGTCGATAACTTCGGAGCAGTTGATATTAGGATGAGAATACTGATAGCTTGTTCCATCCAGCCAACGCTGGAGCACCGGACGTCGAATTGGTACTCCGATCGGCCCTCTGCCTAACGGCTTTGCTCCTGGTTGAGTATCATCTTCGTTAGCGCAGAGAACAAGTGAATTTAGTTTACCTCCATCTTGACGCAAACGGACTTTGGCCTCCTCTTCTAAGCTAGAAAAGGTATTCATCAGTGTTGGCTGCAATGACTGCGCTTCGCAAACTGATTGTAAATTGGACAGATGTACGTCAGATGACCTCAGCATCGAGCTAGCAATCGAACACGGGGGAATCGGGTGACTATCAAGCACAGGGCTGTAAACATCAGTCAATGTACCAGAAATCCTGGCGCCGGTGTAGCCATAATCAAAACTACTGTCGGCCGGTGAGAGTTCAGATTCGACGATCTGCTGTGCGGCCTGAGTGGATCGAGGGCTGATTGGTGTCCCGATAGTAGTGTTCGCCAATTCAGCAGAAGGCATATAGTCAAGGGGGCGGAGCAAACTAGTTGATGAGGTTGGTGAAGTTTGGGTAGATGTTAAGGTGGAAGTAGCACAACAGCAAATAGATGGAAATAAGAGAGAGGGAGGTGGAGTAGGCAATCTAAAGGAGTCGCTGATGCCAGCTGTGGTGTTTTGGTGAACAGGAGATGCCAGTTCATGCATAGCAGTGTTATTGTCCAGTCCACCATTTCTTAAGCTTTCTACATGCTGAGCATTGTTCAGGAGTAAAGCTTGGCTGTAATCGGATTCCGGTTTTGCTGCATTTTCAGGCCCAATATAATCTCCTATTGTCTCTTCAATTTCAGGATTGGTACATTTTATAAGCTCATGCCTTGTAGTGAATACAATATCCCCAAAATCTGAAGAATTAATTAGGGGTAAGAATAGAGAGAACATTTGTATGAACAATAAAAGAATATTAAAATACAAATTAATGGCATAAAGATGAGATTTTTAATGAGTGCGAGTTAAGCCAGACTAAGTAATACGTCATTATAATAATTCGTTATACTATTAACAAATAATAGAAAGATTCTCGGAGATAAAACAACTCCTTTAAATAAAAACCAAAGTATCTTTAATGATACATTGTCAGCAATGGCAAGTATTTAAAAAAAAAGCAGTATCACAATTTGCTTTCGAAATAGACTGTATAGAAACGCTAAAAATTTAATTCGGGAGGGGACAATTAGAGCCTACCTGTAACGGGCAAAATTGAATCAGTTTGACAGTCACTATTATGTAACAGTGTATGGCCATTTAAGTTTATTTTGTCACCATCATTATTCATCTGGTACACTCTTTCCGCACTTGCCCAAAATTGTTCATCAAAATCGGTCTCTGTAGCAGATTTTGCAGCATCCGTAGCATTTATAGTTGCAGTAGGCTCGGATTTGGCTAAGCTTCTGGAGCGAATTGACGGCAAGCCTAAATCAGGAGTCGTGTCGAGGTCACAACTCTCACAGGGTCCAAAACTATCAGTAAGCTGCTTCTCAGGAGCCATCGTAAAGGATAGAGGCTTTTTAGCCACCCGATTTAGAGCAGAATCCGAGCCAGAATATATATTTGAGTCTCTGCCATCCCCAATGGTCATAATCCTGCCGTGGCTGACGACAGAGCCGCCATCTTCAACGGCAACTCCAGTGATCGGATCAAGACCCAAAACGTTACCGCCA